ATGTCAAAAATGATACTTTTCTATTAATTTTGTATTGGATCGCAACTTATGAAGTCATCATACTTCTGCGTCAAAAAGTATACTTATTTCCTTAACATGAGCGAGAAAAAAATCCAAAAGTAGGTAAATTGTCAAATTAATTAATGAGAGTGAGATTATTTTTTAATTATTTATTGCATTGAAAAGTTGAAACAATTTATTTTATACCAAGGAAACTAGGCAATTGTAATAGATATTCGAAGCGTGTGATTTCAAGTTGGTAGCAGATTTTTTAGCCTGCGTAATTATATTTTAAAAACTATGATTCACTAGAAACCTACTTGTTCGAAGTTAATGAAATAATTTGCATCATCATAATTGGCTCAAAAATCCATTTCCATTACTATCTATGCGACCTAAAGTAGGATCCACAGAAAAACATCTCCATATTCAATGCAAACTTTTCAGTACACAGACAAAAAAAAAATAAAAAGAAATCTCAACGCAAAACCTTTTCACATTTAAAAAAAAACAGCTCGCATTTCTACTGCAAAAAGGCTGCAGAAATATTTTCATCACCCGAGTACTTTCAATCTAGTTAAAAAAAAAAGTTTGCGAAAAAAACCGGTACTCGGTTCGTTCTGAAACTAGGAGTTGAGTTTAGTTTCAACGGAGAGGCCACTCGACCGGTAGCTTGGACAAATTGCACACTAGTGGCTTAAGACTCCTCGGGCGTAGAATTGAGACGTGATGCTGCGGTTTTTGGGAGGATATAGATTAAAAATTCTGAGTCAAAAGTCAAAATTATTTATTTCAATTAGACCATAGAGACACTTTTGAACGTCAATAAAGAAAATTAACAAGTGAAGCTATTTGCTCATTCCAAGGTGTAGATTCCTACGGAGAAACTTGCTTTACCTTGCCCTTAATTTGCTTTGCCCAGTTATCCTATAACTGGGCAAAGCCTCTTCTCACAAGAACAAGAAATGAGGTTCATGCAAGCATGAGAGAGCAAGCATGATTCTCAAAAGAAGTAGGCGCTTTAATTTTCGGGCCAATACGAATTTACGATGACTAGCAGTTCGAACATTATCAACAGTACAAATGAATATGAACTACTCGATTTTACTCAGTTTTACCACCATCTTAACATTAATACATCTGTAAGTTCTGCTGGAATCAGCTAACGTAACAAGGGCTGAGGCGTCATGCACACATAAATGTCCTACAGTCGACGGCGCTGTGCGTTGGGTTGTTCCGTTCCCAACAAAAAAGTTGACCGGACCAATTGCTGATACACACATCATATTAACTCGTCGAGCACCGTATTTATAGACACAATTAAAGAACAATAGGTTGCGGTCACCGGTGACCGCTTGGTGTTTGACAGTTTAATAAACGGGTGCCATCTACTGGGTCAGGTTGGCTATCCCATCGTGTTGGTGACTTCATAGAACCGTCGAAATTGACATAAATAGATAATAGTGTTAGAAGAAAAAAAGAATAAAGAAAAAGCATTTATTCGACAGTAGACACGCACACAGATACAAAAATAATACAAAATTAAAAAGAAAAGCAGAAATAAATACAGACACTTATATAGATAATACAGAACGATAATGAAACCCAAAAAAAACTAAGAAACGATCTGTCGTTTACATTCTCTGGTATAACAGAACAGTGACAATACAAAAATACCACAGTCATTAATAATTAATAAAACAAGATATAAATAAATAACATTTAATGTTAATTATTATGTAATGTTTTCTTGTAATAAATATTTACAGATGTGGTAAATTGTAGTGTGTAAGGTATAGGTACTTTAAAAATATTGATTAGACTTATTGTAAAAAAAAATAATGACAAGGGAACAGACCAAGTACCGTGGAGTGTTAATATTGAATATTGAAAAAAAAAACAACAGTATACCATTAAATAGAATATCTTTCTCCTTTTCATTGTGAAATGTCTCGGGCCTGTTTATTCCTCGTTCCCGTGTGTTTCCACATTAAACCCCATTTTCCGCATTCGTCCGTCTAAATTTCAAATGCTATGCGAACTCTCTAAGGCTTTAAGTGTAATATTTCCCTCTTCACTGGAATTCTTCGCATAGTTTTTTTTATTTACCTTGTTTATACTACAAGAATAATAGATGATAGCGAGTTTTTCTGAGTTGGGTAGTAGAATGGTTCGTTTTGTGTAGTTGTTATTTTTTTTAATAGTGGATTATTATTATTTTTTTTGTTAAATTGCTTTGGGCAATGTGTTGGGCAAATGTGCGCTTTATACTAGGTTGAACTATTCATACAGCCAAATTTTTTTCAGTGATTCATATTGAAAAAATATTAACTAACATACATAACATAACATCACGCCTTTTATCCCCGAAGGGGTAGGCAGAGGTGCACACAGATGTAACACCCACTTTTCACTATTTATGTTATGAGTCCCATGTAATAGGGGCCTATAGCCATATACCGGGCACATTTCCAGACTCCGTGCTACTACTGAGAATTTTTTTTTTAAAACCCAGTAATACTTTGCCCGACCCGGGAATCGAACCCGAGACCTTGCCCGGCAGTCGCACTTGCGACCACTCGGCCAACGAGGCAGTCAGAAGAAATATTGTCATTTCCTATTGTGACCTAATATAAGATTTTTTCTTAAAAACAAGTTAAAAATAGTTCTTTCTTCTCAATTTCATCTTGCATCAAGTTCCCGATGACGTTTTCATCGACTAGTAGTAGGTATAACTTCAGGTTTTCATGTTTAAAAGCATTTCTGGCGTTTTAGAGTCAAGTGGCACTTTTGAAAAGAGCTCTTTACGATGCTTTCAGCGCTTTAAGTGGCCAAAGGGTATGGAGTTTGAACAATCGATGTCAAGCTCTAGATGTCGAATTTATATGACTTCCATTTTGTTCAAGTATCAATTACGCTCTTGTTAGTTCCGAGGTGACGCGATAGATGGCGTTAGCGATTTTAATTGCTATCTTTTTAATTAGTGTGTCAAGGGAATTATGATAATTTTCGGTTTTAATTGGATTTGTCTTTGTTGATAGCGGTTTTGGAGTAATTATGCAGTTTAACTTTAAATTACTAACTTTTGCATAAGTCTAAAATAGATAATGTTTTTAAGACTTTATTTATTTATTTATTTAAAACCTAAAACTAATAACTAATACTTAAATTAATACTTAATTTATTGTGTAGCTAGATGGTACTGCGACAGTATTTTTTTTCTTTTTTTCGACAATATATTGAGACTTGCAAAAAAGCATTTTAACTAGTTTCCAACCTATTCTTAAGTTAACCCTACTTTTATTCAAGACACAAAACAAATCTACGACTTCCTCAATATCTTCCTTATATCTCAATAACTACAATTATTGATACACCTTAAGTAATCACTAGTAGGTACATTCCAAGCCTACTTCAAACAGAGGGAACCATAGCCTAGCAAATAAATCAACGGTAAAAGGTACAATGATACTGTAGTCGAGTAGGTATACCATACATTTGTTGAGTACAGTGATACACAATTTTTTTGTAAGGAAGTTGACAAACGAGCAGATGGATCACCTGATGGTAAGCAATTGGCGCTGCCCATGGACACGCGCAAGAGTGTAGGAGTTACAAGTGCGTTGTCAGCCTTCTGGGGATTTCTGGATCTGGTGACCTCAAACACAACTCAAAGTAGTTTCACGCTGGTGTTGTTTGAGGCCGTGGTATCACTCACTCAACTGAAGCCCATTCGTGTTGACTAAACATCATTATCACTACATAGTATAAAACAAAGTCGCTATCCGCCGTCTGTCTGTCCGTATGTATGCTTAAATCTTTAAAACTACGCATCCGATTTTGATGCGGTCGCTTTTAATAGATAGAGTGATTCTTAAGAAGGGTTTTTGTGTATAATACATGTATATTGCACCCGTGTGAAGCCGGGGCGGGTTGCTAGTGTAGCATAAAACAAAGTCGTTTTCCGCTGTCTGTCCCCACGTAAGTTTAGATACTATATGTTAAACTATTTTTTACAGATAGAGCAGTTCAAGAGAAAGTTTTAAAATATCTACTTAACGCGTGCAAAGCCTCCACCAAAGCTAGTTTAACTGTACATTTACTGAGTACAATTGTATACAACTATACATTTGTTGAGTACGAGTACAGTCGCGTCCACCGAGCAATCAGTTAAGTGCTTCAAGATTGAGGCCCGTGCTTGTTACTATGGGAGGGGGGTGACTAGGTAACTATACTTTGTAGCTAGTATGTACTATGTAGGTATGTATGTATAGTATTGTAAGAGGTAGGGTTAGGTACTCAGGTGTATTGTGATTTTGTATTCAAATTATAGTTATTTTGTAGGACATTGCGTTGGCCGTGTGGTCACAAGTGTGACTGCCTGGCAAGGGTCAAAAATACGTGTCTAATATTTTTTTATTATCTAACTGACGGACAAATTAGACCTGAAATGCTTTTAAACATGAAAACCCGAAGTTATACCTACTACTAGTCGATGAAAACGTCATCGGGAACTTGATGCAAGATGAAATTGAGAAGAAAGAACTATTTTTAACTTGTTTTC